CAGGCACCTGGCGGTGTCCACCTCAGTCACCCCACACAGGCACCTGGCGGTGTCCACCTCAGTCACCCCACACAGGCACCTGGCGGTGTCCACCTTAGTCACCTCCAGAACACGCCCCCCGGGCCGCAGCTTGTGACCTGACCCCGCTGTGAGCTGTTCTTCTAGACAACTGTCTGGTTCCCAGATGGGATAGGGCCTGCCCCCGGCGGCCACCCCCGCGCAGGCCCGGGCCCTGCGCCTAGGGGACACGTCCGTCCCGCCGCGCCCCGCCCCGCCCGCCGCCGGCCCCGCCCGCCTGGGGCTTTTATAGGCCGAGGCGCCCGCACTCCCCGAGTCCCGCTGCTGCCCCACGCTCGCCATGCGTCCTGGGGCACTGTGGCCGCTGCTTTGGGGAGTCCTGGTCTGGGCGGTGGGATCCGTGGGCGCCGTGATGGGCTCGGGGGATTCCGCGCCCGGTGAGTGGGGCTGGGCGGAAGGGGCGGGCAGGCGGGCCACCCACGTGGCCTGCGGAATGCGGCAGGGGGATGTCTGGGGTGCGCTCTGGCTGGGTAGGCGAGTGGGGTGCTCCACGCCTCCAGCCTCAAGAGAGGACTGACATTTATTTATTAAGCTCTTATTGTTTACCTGCTTTCCCATGAGTCCACAGAACCCAAAGTTGTGGGTACTTTTTCCATCCCCGTTTTCATGATGGGTAAACTGAGGCTCGGGGTCATGAACCTCGTAAGTGACACTGTGGGTGGCCCCTTTAGAGAGACATCTCTTTTAGAGAGACATCTCTGGGTGGCCAGACCTGCTAATGCCATCTGGGCAGAGGGTTTCAGGATTCCTTGGAATGTCTCTGTTGGAATGGTGTACCTGCGTCTGGCTTGGAGAGCTCTGGCCTCAGTTTCCCGTTTTGAAAAGTGTTTGCTGAGGCGGGGGGCCCAGTTCGCGGAAGGCGCTGAGCAGTGTCTCCTGAGCACGGAGGAGCCCCGATACAGGGGATGCGGCTGTCCCCATTTAAGGGTGAAGAGAGCTGGGCTCTGCGTTCCTGCCTCTACCCCGCCCGCCCGCCCCGCAGGGCTGCTGGCCTCCAGGGGAGCCGAGCCCCCTCCCCTAGGGCCGCGTCCCCCGTCCCGTCCCGTCCCGGGGGAGTGAGCTCACGCAGAGGGAATGTTCCCCAGTTGGAGTGAGTAAGAGGCGGCTCAGGCGAGGGGGGGCTGCAGGCCGGGGCTCGGCCCTGGGCACTGTCTAGACGGAGGGCAGAGGCGGGCACCAGTGCAGGCCCACAGACCCTCACATGCCGAGTGCCTGGCATTTGAAGGGGCCGGGCAGGGTGCCAGCTCTCAGGCCCGGAGGCCGGGCAGGAGCTGGTGGTGGAGCACTGGGGTGCGGCTCAGAGGAGGAGGGCTCCCCACAGAGCAGAGTCAGGACCCAAACTGTGGCTTTCTGCCGCCGCGTCTTCCCGAGCAGGGGGACAGGATACCCAGGATGGCTATGGACAGCTCTGGCCGGAGGGGGCATTAGGCCTGGGGCGTTGGGGGTTGGTTAGGAGTTTGCGACACAGGGAACAGTCCGTAGGTAGCGGCGGGGGTCTGGAGTCACCCTCCGCCCCTCCTGTGGCACAGGCGGCGTGTGCTGGCTGCAGCAGGGCGGAGAGGCCACCTGCAGCCTGGTGTTGAAGACGGACGTCAGCCGCGAGGAGTGCTGTGCCTCCAGCAACATCCACACCGCCTGGTCCAACTTCACTCACCCGGGCAACAAAATCAGCCTGCTGGGCTTCCTGGGCCTCGTCCACTGCCTCCCCTGCAAAGGTGAGGAGTCGGGTCCTGGTGGCGGGTGGACGGGAGCCACGGGGAGCCCCAGCCTGCACCCTGCCCCGCCTGACACCCCCCCAGGGTGCCCACACGCCGCGGCCCTGAGTCCGCCAGTTTAACATGGTTAATATGCCTGAGAATGCCCCCCGCATCCCTGCCGAGAACAGAGTGAGTGGCATCCAGACACCTCTGCCTTGGAGGGAGCACTGGTCGGAGGGTACCCCGTCTCTCTGTGACCAGGGCTGAACCAGCAAGGACCTGGAGGACGTGCTGGGGAAGGACGTGGGGAATGCGGGCATTAGATGTAGGGTATTGGGGGATGATTAGGAGTTTGCCGGGTGGACCCCACAAGGAAGAGTGCACCGGGGCTAGGGTCGGTCTCTAGGAGGGTGGGTTCCGATATCAGGCAGCTTACCCAGGAGGCTAGGCTGCAGACCTGAAGGGCAAGCGCCGGTGCTCGGGCTGGCCTGTGGGACAGGATTAATGTCGGGTCAGCCTGGCTGCGTCCACTGCCACACGCCCTCCTCCAGACCCCGCCCCTAGCTTCTGGGAAGAGAACAGATACCCAGGAACAGGCGCCTGGCCTGGGTGTGAGGGCGAGGACTGCCCTCCCCGGCCTCTAGTTCTTAGATTTCCTGAAGTTGGCTAGAGGGCCGTTCCAGATGTGGTTCCAGATGTATGGGTGGGTGGTCCCCGGGGGGTGCCAGGCCTAACCCCATAATGTGGGTCTCTCCAGCCCTTTTCACACTGGGAAACGGAGGCCAGAGTTTAGGGTCTGTTCGTCTGTCCAGACCCACAAAGCAGCTGAACTGGGAGAGGAGGGTGTCCATTCTGACTCTGGCGTGAAGGGCTCAAGCTAGGATGTTTTGGGGGTCCCCTTGTACTCAGCTGTAACAGCCTCAGTTTCCCCGTCTGTAAAACGGTGGCTGAACCACATATTAAAAGGGACAAGAGGCCAGGAGTGGTGGTGCAGGCCCAGATTCCCAGCACTCGGGAAGCAGAGGGTCAGGAGTTCAAGGCCAGCCTGGGCTAACCCTGTCTCAAAAGAACAAGATAAGGAGTGTGGGGCATCCCAACGCAAGACTGTGCAGGCGAGCCTCTTAGGGCAGGCTGGTGGGTGGGAACCGCCAGGCACTCGCACTCAGTTGTGCACTGGGGTGAGCCCGGGCCCAGGGGCACGCGGGGAACCCACCTGCGCGTCCTGTGTCCCAGATTCCTGCGACGGAGTGGAGTGCGGCCCCGGCAAGGCGTGCCGCATGGTGGGGGGCCGTCCACACTGCGAGTGCGCCCCCGACTGCGAGGGCCTTCCCGCGAGCGCGCAGGTCTGCGGCTCGGACGGCGCCACCTACCGGGACGAGTGCGAGCTGCGCGCCGCGCGCTGCCGCGGACACCCTGACCTGCGCGTCATGTACCGAGGCCGCTGCCAAAGTAAGGGACGCGGCGTGGAGAGGCGGGGCCGCGGAGAGGCGGGGCCGCGGAGAGGCGGGGCCGCGGAGAGGCGGGGCCGCAGAAGGTGAAAGCAGGGCCTGGGGCGGGGCTAGGGAGATTAGGGCGGGGCGGGGCCCGCAGGACTGGGAGAGGCGGGGCCCGGGAAAAGGTAGCGCAGGAGAGGGGTGGAGTCTCTGGAGGAGGCGGGGCCTGATGGAGGTGTGACTAAGCAGGGGCGGAGCCTGGGGTAGAGGGGCCCGGGAAGAGATGGGCCCACGAAAGGGCGTGGCTTGGGAGAGGGGCGGGGCTTAGTTACTCCGGGGGCGGAGCCTTTGGGGGCGTGACCTGTACGAAGTCCCGGCCAAATGTTGGTAAACAGGCTCTGCAGGGGCGTGGCCACGTCCGCCGCTCTCTACGGACTCTGGGGATTGGCACCGCTAGGGGCGGGGTCTGGGGGAGGGCAGGTCTATGCAAGACTGGGTCAGGTCAGGTGGGTGCCAAAGTCGCCGGCTGCGACCTTGAGCCCGGGCCCCGGGATAGCTACACGCGCGGGCGTGTCTGGGGACGGCTGTGCGCGGCAGCACGTCGCGTTCCGCAGCCCCGCGGGCCCTCACGAGTGCTGACGCGCGGGAGAAGCTGCAGCCACGGGAGGAGGCGCGTGACGGGCAGCGGGGGACGTGGGTGTGGCCACGGAGGCCACCTGATGGGTGGGGCTTGGTGGAACGGGGCGGGGCTTAGCAGAGCCGGGGCGGGATTGGTTCTAGGGCCTCGATGGTAGGCGGGAGCTGTGCTGCGGGGCGGGGCTCGGGCGGGGCGGCGCGGGTTTTAGCCCCAGGAATGGGGCCTTCAGGTGGAGCCCTGGTGAGGTAGCGGGACGCCCGGCGCCTGACCCGCCCTCTCTCGGGCCCACAGAGTCCTGCGCTCACGTAGTCTGCCCGCGCCCGCAGTCGTGCCTGGTGGACCAGACTGGCAGCGCGCACTGCGTGGTGTGTCGCGCTGCGCCCTGTCCGGTGCCTTCCAGCCCCGGCCAGGAACTCTGCGGCAACAACAACGTTACCTATATCTCCTCCTGTCACCTGCGCCAGGCCACCTGCTTCCTGGGCCGCTCCATTGGGGTGCGACACCCGGGCGTCTGCACAGGTGAGGCTCGGTGGGCCCGGGCATCGGTCCACCAAGGGGTGGTGCGTGCGCTCACTGTTGCCTCTCCCTCCCTCCCTGCAGGTTCCCCCAAAGTCCCGCCAGAGGAGGAAGAGAACTTCCTGTGAGCTGCAGCAGCTGCTGTTTGAGGCCGTCCCAATTTTATTTATTGTCGCAGAAAAGATTCTAATTTATGTCACGTGGACGTACCCCAGACCTGGCCGGGAACCACTGTGGGTCCCCTCGGATCCTGAGCACGTATCACAAAGGACCGAAGGGAGATTTTGTAAGAGTTGGTATGTGCCATCACCAGGTACCGGGGTCAAGTCAGGACCCCAGACACCTGCTGCCCAGGGAGGCAGCTTCGTGGAGACCCCTGCCTTGACCTCTCCGCCTGCTTTCTACGCTGGAGCTGAGTCTCAGGGCACAGTCTATGGTAGCTGTGTCCTCCTCAACTGCTGTCCACACGGGGCCTCCCGGCCTCAGATGGGGGGGGCAGTCAGCATCCGCCCAGAAACACTGGGTTCCTCCCTGTTTACTCCACTTAGAGTGGGACCCGTGGGAACCTGGCTGACTGGGTAGTCTGTGGTCACCCGAGTGCCTACTGTCCTGTTCTGGGGACACCAGAATCAGGTCCCAGCCAGCCGCATTCATCACCAAGCCCGGCAACAGGTGGTGACATCAGCCAGGTGCTGTTTGGGGCATGACCCTTCACTCTGACAGCTGCCACTCAAAATTACCCACACGTGCCTTGAAGGAGACCAAAAAGAATGGGGAGCTGTGGCTCAGTGGTTAGAGTGCTTTCCCAGCATGCACAAAGCCCTGGGCTCCATCTCCAGCACCACGTGGACAGACATGTCGGCACACATCTGCCGTCCCAGCACACAGGAGATGGAGACAGGAGGAGGGTCAGGAGTTCAAGGCCAGCCTGGGTTACCTGAGACCTTATCTGTAAAAACCTTAAAAAGGAAGACAAAATGTCAGCTCATAAACAGGGCCATAGGAGGGTGCACAGCCCCCCATTTGGGGGCAAAGAGTTCCCAGGTCTTCTCTACCCCCGCCCCCGTCCTCGGCTGTGCCTTTCCTGCAGTGCCCCCCAAAGTGTCCTTAGCAGGCAGCCTGGGCAGCCTCTTCCACCCTGGGGTTCTGCCTCACCAAAGAAATAAAGACGGTAAAAACCACCATGGTGACCAGGCTCAGCCTCCACCTGCCTCTTCTCTCTCAACCTGGGGACTGGGGTGGAGCGTGGAGCAACCGTGAGAGCCTCCAGAGAGACGCGGCACGTGTTCACGGGCCCTGGGAAGCGTGGAGGCGAGCAGAGGGACGGAAGTGGGCCCCTCTGGGGTCTGAGGTAGAGGGACAAGATGGCTGGGAAGGGGAGGCCTGCCCTCAGGGAGCCCTCAGGAGCCCTCAGGAGCCCTCAGGAGCCCTCAGGAGCCCTCAGGAGCCCTCAGGAGCGGTGGCTGATGGGGTGATTCGGAGCTGAGGCAGGCTAATCTGCAACTCCAGGAGTGGAGTGACCATTTTGTTTTATTTTTTATCTTTTTGTCCTCACTGTGCATATTGGTCCCTGCCTGTGTGTTAGCGGGGTTAGTCTGCAATCCATAAGGGGACAGAGCAGGTACAAAGGCCGGGAGCCACCTGGAATGGGGACCTGTGGTGTGGGAGTGGGTGATCTCGGCTGTGGAAGGTCTTGGCCTAGAGGGTGAGTGCAGGGTTGAGGGCCCCTCAGTGACACTGGCACACATGGAGCCATAAGCCCTGTGTCTTGATAGCCTTCAGTACAGCTCTTCATTTTGTATGGATGCCAGGTGCTCCGCCGTCTCCAGCCAAGCCGTGGAATATTCCAGATCCTAGCCAATGGACGCAGGTTGCCATCCATCTCGGCCCCAGTAGGGGGCTGAGATTCAAACATCCCCCATAGAGCATCCCATAGAGCAAGGGGAGGAACTTCTCCGAACCACGTCCCAGATCCAGGCCACAAAAGCCGACACTTGGGTGTAGACATCCGGGGTCTTGGGGTCACCACACCAGAGGCCTGAGAAGGAGACAAGGCCGTGGGCCCGGCTCCCACAGACCAAGGGCCCCCCAGAGTCTGCCTGGAGTGAAAAAAGTTGAAGTTAGGTGTTGCTCTGGGGTCTTTGCCCGCAAAGGCGTCTCCTATACAGACAGGTCTGTGGTCTTTGAGCAGCACACAGCCCAAAAGCGTGGCGGTGTGCCCCGGTCTTCTGACGTGTCTCTCAAAAAAGCTGAGGTTCCCTCAAGTCTCAGCCCCCAGGCTCTCTTTTCTGTGTCCTATCTACCCTAAAATCCCCAACTCACTTTCCGCCCCCTACCGGGCCTGCCCCAGGGCATTTCGTGCAGGGCGCAGCCTGTCCAACCGCCCTCACCTTCCTGGGCCTCATTTCTCCATCTAGTCACACTTCAGTGGGACCCAGTTCTCAGGGGTAGCCTATGTCCAACCCTGACCCCTCTGGGCCTCGGTTTCTCCAGCACCAGGCCACCGTACCGAGCAGAAGCCACGCCACCGGCGGTCCCCGCTGCGGGTGCAGAGCACGGCAGGACTCAGCTGGCCCTGCCAGGAGCGGTTGCAAGCACTCAGGTCCAGCACGCGCACCTCGGCCTCCATCAGCGCCGGTGGAGGCTCCTCAAAGTCAGACGTGAAGCCCCAGCCAGACACACGGCACCGCGTCCCCGCCAAGGGTGGCCTGGCCCCTCTCCGTGGCAAGCGCAGTAGGCGGACAGCAGGGCCGAGGACGGCCGAGCCGTTCAGCTGCGGGAGGAATGCTGGAATCAGAGCCGCCGCCCCTCTCCCCCAGGGCTCCCCAGCTGGGGTACCTTCCCATTCAGCCTCAGGCCTCAGGTTAGACATCACTCTTCAGGGACGTGTGCTGGTCAGCGTGGGGCTGCCTGGGGTGCCTGCCTGGGGCCTCTGCAACGTCTCCGGCTACTCAGCTGAAGGGGAGGACGGAATGACCAAACCTCCAGGGAAGGACTAGTCTATCTAGCTGCACCTTAGCCTCGGTTTCCCCATTCTCCCCAGCCTGTTTCCCCACCTGTACCAGATGTCAGGGGACTGGCAGTGGGAACCCTCATTGCCTCCTCTGTCCTGCGAAACTGCCGTGCCCTGAAGCCGGCGGCACACAGGGAGCTTGCCGTGTGTCTGTAGGCCAGCTCTGAGACACTCCCTTGAGAAACAGGGCCGCCTGGCTCTTGGCTTTGCTTTTTATTCCCAGAGCTGGGAGTCATGAGGGTTCTGGGCAGCGGAGGTGTAGGACAGGATTCAGGAGTCTGAGGTGCTACCAGACATCTTCAAACAGAATTCCAGAACCCTTCCTCCCCCACCCCCCACCTCCGACAGGGTTCCTCTGTGTAGTTTTGGAGCCTGTCCTGGATCTCGCTCTGGAGACCAGGCTGGCCTGGATCTCGCTCTGTAGTCCAGGATGGCCTTGAACTCACAGAGATCCGCCTGCCTCTGCATCCCGAGTGCTGGGATTAAAGGTGTGCGCCACTGCCGCCCAGCCAGAACCCTTTCTCAGCATGCAAAAAAAAAAAGGGGGGGGGGGTTTCAGGCTAGGTGTGGCGGCACACACCTTTAACCCCAGCATTCAGGAGGCAGAGGCAGGCAATCTCTGAGTTCGAGGCCAGCCTGGTCAATAGTGAGTTCCAGGACAGCCAGAACTACACAAAGAAACCCTGTCTTGAAAAGAGTTCATCCCCAGCCCCACAAAAAACTAAATAAGCAAACTCAGAAGTCAGGTGGGCCGGGTCTGCCAGCCACCCTCCTGCAGCTCACCCTTAGCAGGCAGATGTCGTTGGCCTGTGTGGCTGGCTGGTAACTGGGATGCTGGACAAGAGCTGCAATGCTAAAAACCTGTCGTGTGGGCTCCGCTTTGAGCAGTGCATGGGCCCCGAGCACCACCAGGCCAGTGGACAGGTCCCTGCAGGGAGATGAGAGGGGTAAGATCGCCAACTCCTGAGCTCAGGCCGCCCCTCACCGTCCCCGGGTTTACAGCCCTCCCCCACTACAGCAGTGCCCCAGTCCTGGCAGTATTGAAGAGTTATAAAAACACACTTAAACCGAACACAACACACCTTAGTGGTTATAATTCTTCCTTCCATAATACTATTTTGTAGTGCTGAGTATGAAACCAAAAGCCTCAAGCTTCTTGCTAGACAAGTATTCTACCCATGGCCAAGCCCCCATCCCTCACTGGGGGATTCTAGGCGGGGCTCCACCCTGACCACGCCCCCAGCCCCTCACTGGGGATTCTGGGCGGGGCTCCACCCTGACCACGCCCCCAGCCCTCACTGGGGGATTCTAGGCGGGGCTCCACCCTGACCACGCCCCCAGCCCCTCACTGGGGATTCTAGGCGGGGCTCCACCCTGACCACGCCCCCAGTCCATCACTGGGGATTCTAGGCGGGGCTCCACCCTGACCACGCCCCCAGCCCATCACTGGGGGATTCTGGGCGGGGCTCCACCCTGACCACACCCCCAGCCCCTCACTGGGGGGTTCTGGGCGGGGCTCCACCCTGACCACACCCCCAGCCCCTCACTGGGGGATTCTGGGCGGGGCTCCACCCTGACCGCGCCCCCAGCCCCTCACTGGGGGATTCTGGGCGGGGCTCCACCCTGACCACGCCCCCAGCCCCTCACTGGGGGATTCTTGGCAGGGGCTCCACCCTGACCACGCCCCCAGCCCCTCACTGGGGGATTCTTGGCAGGGGCTCTATTATTCAGCTACAGCTCTACAACCATTTGCTTATTTATTTTTGAGACAAGTTCCCAGTCTAGAGCTAAAACTTAGCTTCCATTTTCCATTCTCCCGACGCAGCCTTCTGGCTAATTGAAATTCCCAGACCGGGCTGCCATTCCCAGCAGTAATATGAGTGCTAAGAGTAACACACTTTGTGTTGAAGGTGACCATAGTTATTATATTCGATTGTTATCACCAGAAGTGCCCCAGGGGGAGGGTTGGTCCTGTCTGGGTCACATCCTAGCGATGGCCTTAAGTTCATCCCTCAGTGGCCCCAGCACATCACCTGTCTCTGAAGCAGTGGGCAGCTGACACCACCCAGCGGACGTGGAGCAGAAAGCCTCCGCAGTGGTGACGGCCCTCGAAGCTCACAGAGACCATGTAGGGCCGGGAATGTGGCGTCACTTCATGGCCCCCGATAATCCGGGATCCACAGCAACCTGGGATAAGTGTGGCTATGTGAAAGAGCAGGACAGGAAGACGGGCCAACGGAGGCCAGCCCTGGCAGGGGGCAGGAGTGGAGGCTGGGCTGAGAGGACAAGGGTAAAGACAGAGGCACTCGGGAGGCAGAGGCAGGCGATCTCTGTGGGTTCAAGGCCAGCCTGGTCTACATGGGAAAGTTCTAGGACAGCTGGGCTACATAGTGAGACCTTCCCTAAATAAGGGGGGGGGGGCAAGAACAGAGAAACCCCGGACCACTGTCGGGGCTCAGTAGCCAAAGGTACTGGCTCCAACCTTGACAACCCGACCTCCCTCCCAGGGACTCTTGCGATAGAAGGGCAGAACCAACCCTGCAGGTTTACCACTGGTTGCCACAAGCACCACAGACATATGATCCATCAAATAAATAAACGTAATTTTAAAAAGAGGAGACTTGGAAATGGCCCATCATTTAAAACCCCTGGTTGGTCTTGGGACTCAGGTTCGATTCCCAGCACCAGCATGGTAGTGCCAACTCCAGTTCTAGGGGATCTGGCGCCCTCTGCTGGCCTCCTCAGACATTGCATGCATGCAGACATTCAGACGAAACACTCATACACGGAAAAATAAAAATAAAAAAGAAAGTATGAGGGAATCCAGAGCCCACAGTCCTGTACATGAGATGGCCAAGATCACTGCCTGGCACCTCACGCTCCAACCCACAGCCACCGTTCCCGGTTCAGCAGTTAGACTAGATGTGGGTCCTCTTTGGGAGCCTAGAGTCAGCGGGAGTCACCTTGGGTAGGGTGTAATGGCAGTTTGGGTTCTCACCAGGGGTCCTCGTGAGCTGGGTCAGGGCAGCGGCCACCTCCAACACCAGGCAGCCCCAGCGTCCAGTCCCTGGCGCCATGGCGGCAGCAGGACGGCAGCTCCCTGGCAAGGTCTGCGGATGACGGAGGTACCCTCACCAACGGTCCAGCCCCAAAGTAGGAACAAGGCTGTGGTCTGTGGTCAGGAGGTGGAGCTGGCATTTCTAGGAAACAGGGAAGGCAATTCGACTGTCCCCTGTCCCCAAGATCGCGGCTGGTGAAAGCCCAGAAGATCGTTTTGTCAGCCCAGACTCGCCCAACACCTTCCTAATTCATCTGGGCCCGGCCGGGCTGAACACAGACATCATGTGTGACTGCCTCTCACACCATCTCAGGGGACACAGTCACCTGGAAGTGCCAGCCTTGCCTACCCATCTGCCCCTGGCACCTTGACCCTTGACCTCAGTTTCCCCATCATGAAATGAGGAAGGCTGATCCTTTGGAGAGCTCTGGGTTTGGCTGACTTTGCTGCATTTATTGAGCTCCTACTGTGTACTAGACTTGGCTGGAAGAATCGGGGACAGCAGAGAGTGACCCTGAGTTCTGGGGTCTGGCAGGATCTGTGCTAGGCTTGGGGTTCTTCATGGTGGGGACCTTTGGAAGAGGAAGTTCAGATAGGTTCTCATGTAGCCCAGGCTGGCCTCAAATTCAATATGTAGCTGAGGCTGACCTTGAATCCCTCCAGCCTCCACCTTCCAAGTGCGGGACGGGATGACAGGCATGAGCTACCACAGCCCCACTTAGGTGGGAACTTAGGCCCCCTGCACTGTGGAGTGAAGTCTAGAGCACACGCTAGCCGGACTTGCACCGTCCACATTTGGTGGCCAACGTCTTAGCTTCAGCTTATCTGGACACAGCAGGCTGGCCCCCAAGTCGGCCCGTAGGACCTGCCCCCACGGCTGATGCAAATGCTGGGGGCTTAGGAGGAGGAAGGGACAGAAGGACCCGGATGGACTCAGGACGCACAATGGCAGCAATGCCCCTGTGCCGCTCAGGGAGGGGGCACAGGGCCAGCACGGTCACCCTGCAGGGACAGGGCACCTTGTCTTGGCTTCCTTTCCCCCAAGAGGCTCATTCCAGCCGCCCTGAGGATGAAGGATGGAGTTCTGCACCGGGGGCTCTGGAGGGAGCCAGACTGGCCGGGGGGTGGGG